ACCCAACAGGCACCTCCAGCTATAGCAAATGAAAACATTCAAAGTAAACAATAGGGGCTGGGCGTGGTGGCTCACACCTATAAACCCCAGCACTTTCGGAGGCCAAGGCAGGTGGATCACTTGAGTTCAAGAGTTTGAGACCAGCCTGGCCAACATGGCAAAACCCCGCCTCTACTAAAAATACAAAAATTAGCTGGGTGTGGTAGCACATGCCTGTAATCCCAGGTACTCGGGTGGCTGAGGCAGGAGAATCATTTGAACCTTGGAGGTAGAGGTTGCAGTGAGTGGAGATCACACCACTGCACTCCAGTCTGGTGACAGAGTGAGACTCCATCTCAAAACAAAAAAACAAAAAACAAACAAAGTAAATAATGAGGAGTCTACAGAAATGCAACTTCAAGACAAGTCCTTGAGCTCCAACTTCTAACTGGATTGCACCCCAAGTTGCTCTAAAGTAGAAATGCTTTTGTTGCCCTTGCTGTAACCAGACCATTCTTTTCAAAATAAAAATCTGATCAGGTGTCCCTGCTTCCTCACATATCCAGCTTGAAGCCTTTTGATGCTGGTAGGATATTAGTATCACCCAAGCCAGCCCACAACAAATATTTCTTGAACTGAAAAATGACTAAAATCCTTAGTTACCACCACCCCTCCTCTCCAGCCTCATCCCACACCACACCCCAACCTCATCTTTCTGCTCCAGACTCAAAGACTTCTTTCAGGCCTCATTCTTCCCTTTCCCATCCTGCCATGCCCTAGGACTCTCACACTTGCTCTGCCCATGGTCCACAATGGTCTTCCCTCCCTTCGTGGTCCAGTTAACTCATACTCCTCTTCCAGCAATCAGAGGAAGCAACACTTCCTCAAGGAAGCCCTACCTGAATGTCCTCAGAGTCCACCACTCGCCAAGCATTACTTTTTGTGCCCTAGCTTTGTGCCTGGATTATTACGAGCCTCTGAGAACACGTAACTTAAACATAAATCTTAAATATATATGTATGTATGTGTATATATATATATATCTTTTTCTCTCCTCCTTTCAAGATGGAGTCTCACTCTGTTGCCCAGGCTAGAGTGCAGTGGCACATTCTCAGTTCACTGCAACCTCTGCTTCCCAGGCAATTCTCCTGCATTAGCCTCCCGAGGAGTTGGGATTACAGCCATACACCACCACAAACAGCTAATTTTGTATTTTTAGTAGAGATGGGTTTTACCATGTTGGTCAGGCTGGTCTTGAACTCCTGACCTCAGGTGATCCGCCCGCTTCAGCCTCCCAAAGTGCTGGGATTACAGGCATGAGCCAGTGCACCCAGCCCACAACAAATACTTGAACTGAAAAATAAATAAGTAAATATAGCAGAGTAACAGGGAACTCTCTTACACTGCTGGTGGGAGTATAAATTGGCGCTACCACTTTGACCATATCTAGTAATGCTGAAGATGATTATACCCTACAACCCAGAGGTTAGCTCCTAGGTATATGCCTCGGAGTAACTCTCCCTCCCATGTGTCCACAAAGAGATTTGTACAGAACGTTCATAGCAGCACTGTTACCAAGGGCAAAAACCAGAAACAAGTAAATAGCCATTCTATCAGTCAGGGTCCTTGCAGGAAATAGCTGCCATTCTCAAATTAGGATACTTTTAAAAAGGGTTTAAAAAGGGATACTTGGGGTGGGTTAGGTGGATGAAAACCAGAAGGCAGAGAGTGTAGTAGCCCCAGGATAGAAAAGCAGAACTTGCTGGGCACGGTGGCTCATGCCTGTAATCCCAGCACTTTGGGAGGCCGAGGTGGGTGATCACCTGAGGTCAGAGTTTGAGACCAGCCTGACCAACATGGAGAAACCCTGTCTCTACTAAAAATACAAAATTAGCAGTGTGTGATGGCGCATGCCTGTAATCCCAGCTACTCAGGAACGCTGAGGCAGGAGAACTGCTTGAACCCAGGAGGCAGAGGTTGCAGCGAGCAGAGATTGTACCATTGCACTCTGGCATGCACGACAAGAGCAAAACTCCATCTCAAAAAAAAAAAAAAAAAAAAAAAACAAAAAAAAAAAAAAAAAAAAAAAAAAAAGAGAGAAAGAAACGTATAACCATTGCCATTCCCATACCTCAAGGGAAGAACTGGTTACTCAAATCAGGAATGAGAAAGGATGAGGAGAAAAGCTGTCTGGAGAGAAGCAGTGACCTTGGCCTTCAGGGGTGGGGAGGAAGACAGCCAGGCCAGGAAACCCCGCAGGGAGTAAACTGCAAGAATAAATACAGCTGCCTTTTGCTTCTCTGGCTGCTCTGATTTCTGCTCAGGATCCCCACCGGCTGAACCACCAAAACAACCAAAAGGCAAGGAGCCCACTGATGTAGTTTATGGAGGGCAACCCCCTGGAGCATGGTGGCGAAGGGAGAGAGGGGCAAAGGGAACATATTCAGCATATCCATCAACAGAATCATAAAATATATAATCATCCAGTGGAATGTTGCAAGCAAAAGAGCAAAAACTTCATGTTGGTTAAAAAAGACAAGTTGCGTTAAAATACAGTCCTCCCTAGATATCCTCAAGGGATTGGTTCCAGGACCCCGAGGGATACCAAAACCCGTGAATGCTCAAGTCCCTTACATAAAATGGCACAGTATCTGCATATGACCTACACATATCCTACCAAATACTTTAAATCATCTCTAGATTACTTATAATACTTAATACAACATGTTGATAGTTATAAACATTTATTTAGTTTTTAAATGTGTATTAAACATGTATTAGTTTTTAAATGTGTATCATTTTTATTGCCATATTGTTACTTTTTATTGTTTTTTCCCCAAATATTTTCGGTCTTCTGTTGGGTGAATCTGCGGATGCACAACTGGTAGATACAGAAGGCCAAATGTACATAGGGAATGCCATAATAGCAGATTGTACTTTCTCAAATCCACCACTGCTGTATGGCTCCCACATGTCTTCCTCACCTTGCCACTCCGCCACCAAGAGTTGCAAAGAAGGAAAATAAGGTTTGGCTGGGCGGGTGCCTCACACCTGTAATCCCAATACTTTGGGAGACCCAGGCAGATCGACCACCTAAGGTCAGGAGTTCGAGACCAGCCTGTCCAACATGGCAAAACCTCATCTCTACTAAAAATACAAAAATTAGCCAGGCATGGTGGTGCGTGCCTATAGTCCCAGCTGCTCGGAAGGCTGAGGCAGGAGAATCGCTTGAACCTTGGAAGGCAGAGGTTGCAGTGAGCATAGATCCCGCCACTGCACTCCAGCCTGGGCCACAGAGCAAGACTCTGCCATAAATAAATAAATAAATAAATAAATAAAGTTTTACCACAGAATTACAGGAGAAACCTAAGGCAGCAGATAGTCTCTGAGGAACTGAATGAACTTTACAATGAGGTCAACAACCCTGCTAAAGCAGCAGCAAAGAGCAAGCCCCAAGACCCTCAGGGAAAGAAAGGCCTTGGCCTTTTTAAATGCAATTCAAACAACGGCAACAAAACCTGTTTCAGAATTGGGCAAGGGAGAGAATGACAAGTCTGAAGGAAGGTGGACACAAGCCTGATCACGTAGGGCATTTAGGGTGACTTTGCTGGTGACTACCCTGGGGATATAAAGCGGTGAGAGTATGGGAGGCAATCCGGCTCTAGGCAGCAAAAAGCCACAGAGGGGAATCAAGGAACCAGAAACAAACCTCCCTCTCAACTTAGCATCTAGCGTGCGTCTGACACTAATCTAAATAATGTAAATTATTTAGACTATTAGATAATCTAAATCCAAAATCCTAGCACTTTACCTTGACTCCCGACTGTCGTCCCTCTCTACTGCACTGACGGGGCACTGTTACCATTTTGGTGAATGACTTATGGTAAATGACCGTAATTATAGAATACAGAATACATAACGGTGAACAACCTTAATAAAACTGACGGCGTCTAACATGCACCGAGCGCTTATCCAACAACATCCAAAAGCATTCCCGTTTTACAGATGTGGAAGCTCAGGCCAAGATGCTGAGGATGGTAGGGGACTGGGAAACTCGGTCTCGCTGCAGAGCCCAAGCTATCATTAACTACGCTTTGCTGCCTTCCTCTTACTTGCCTTCTCTGGGGGAAGTCATATCAAGGCCAGTGAGGCTCCTAGACTATATCACTCTCTCGGACTCGCCTCTAAATTGCACGCCTGGAATCCCTAAGTGCAGGCGTTGATGCAGCAATGGCGGCCCCCAGACCCTGGTGCAGCCGCGGATGGTGTCCGACTGACGGCGCGCACACGTGAACAAAAGGTTCCCCCGGCGGAAGGTTCTGCAGCCCAGAGTCCCCTCCCTGGGTGAGAGGCGGGAAGTACCTGCGGGAAACGCGTCCAGGGTCCTGCTCCGGGCTCTGTGGAAAACACCCCCCGCCTCTGCAGTTGACATGGTGATCAACTTTCCGGGCTTCACTCACAACACTGCGTGGGTGGGAGCCGCGCGACTTCACACAGGCCAACGGCTAGACCTGCCACGCTTTGGGCAGCGCCCTTTGGTCTCGGGGCGGAACCGGGGAGGGACCGGGTGGGGCCTGCCGCTCTGGGTGCCGCTAGTGCTGCCTGGGCGGGGCGGAGGCGCGAGCTGCCCCTCAGGGATCGACCTGCGGGCCTGGCGAGTGGAGACCTAGAGTCGAGGGCACACGTGGGCGGGGGTCAGGCTCTGGGGTCAGTCCTTCCTTAAAGGCAGAGTTACTAGATTTAACAAGTAAAACTGCAGGACTCCCAGTTAAATTCGAATTTCAGATTTTTTTTTTTTGAAAAGATTGACTTAATATATGTCCCATGCAATATTTGGGAGCTACTTATGTTATTTTTTTTCATTATCTGAAATTCCTATTGAACTGGGCGTCCTAATTTTTTTAAATTTTTCTCTTTTTGCAGGTTTGAATGGAAGCGTCCTGATTTTTTTTTTAATCTGACAACTCTACCGTGAGGTCAGAAGGAGCCGCTGGGGTGGCTCACACCTGTAACCCCAGCTCTATGGGAGGCCGAGGAGGAAGGATCGTTTGAGTCCAGGTGTGGGAGACCAGCCTGAGCAACACAGCGAGAGACCTTGTCTCTACAAAAAATAAAAAAAGATAAGAAGGTGACTTACGTATTATACATTGCAGTGGATGTCTTGGAGGACTGTATCAGCTTGAACTTCCAGTGACTGCCACCATCTTTCTATTATTATCTTTGCTTGGCTATGCACTAGGCAGGGCGCTAAGCACTTTGCATGCAGCTAACTGAATCCCCACTACAGCCCTAGGAGGTGGTGCCCTTATTAGCTGCATAGGTCGTTTGGGGAAACTGACGCTCAGAGAGATGAAGGGACTTGCACGAGGTGACACACATCTACAGTGGTGGTAAAGCTTCAAGTAACCAAATTAGGATATCTCCAGCTCAAGAGCCATTGTACTGAACTACTCAGCTAGCATTTGTCCAAAGTTGAAAATATAAATTCCAGAATGGACCCATTGAATCCAAATCTCTATGAAAATGATCTGTGTTTTGTCGTTTTGTTTTGTTTTGTTGAGACAGGGTCTTGCTCTGGTTGTGTAGGCTGGAGTGCAGTGGCACTGTCTCTGCAGTCTTGACCTCCTGGGCTCAGCCGATTCTCCTACCTCAGCCTCCCAAGTGGCTAACGCTACTGGCAGGCACCACCACTGCTGGTTAATATTTTGTATTTTTAGTAGAGACGAGTTTCACTATGTTGTCAGGGTGGTCTGGAACCCCTGAGCTGAAGCAATCTGCCCACCTGGGCCTCCCAGAGTGCTAGCATTACAGGCATGAGCCACTGTGCCTGGCCTGAAAATGATCTGTTTTTAGCAAGCACTGCAGGGGAGCTCTTATGATCTTACAAATTTGGGAAATTCTTTTCTAAAGTAGCTGCCTACATCCAAAGCACTGTTTGAGTAGCCAATATGGCAACAACTACCATTCTCTAATCCTTGACAAGAGTCACCCATGAATCATAGTGGTTAAGAGTATAAATGCTGGCCGGG